ACTATACTTTCATGTTCTATATATGCTGGTTGAGTGATGAGTTAGATGTATAAAGTGTGCATGTTTATACACAAATGTATTTGAAAGAGTTATATTTCATTGTGGCCGTGTGTGCTTTAATACTTAATGTATTATTTCTGCCAAAGATTTCAGCTCAATGTCGTGTGTGATAAATTACCCAATAAACTGCCTTCAGATCATGTGAGGTACAGTGTGTGTAGTTTGTTAAAGTTTTAACAGTTGACTTTCAAACGGTGTAACTTAGATATTTATCAAAATATATATCATACTATTTATGTTTTTTTTTTAAGATTCATGTACATTCATGCACATGTATGTGTTTAATGAGGCTGGATGTTACTACATGTAGTATTTTTTTGTTATATACATTTGTATTTTACTTGCGCATTACTTAAAATACTTGCCAGTCAGTGCATACATCTATTTTCGTAAACTTTGAACAACGTATTTTGTGTGCTAAGATCTTGCGAATTTTGGAACATGCATGTATTGTATATGGAATTACATAACTCTAGTTTCATGTATTACACTACTATACAACTCTTACTCTATCAAATGTTTTGAACTTGTTTTGCTGAAATGCCTTAGTTTTGCCTTAATCTTATTTTGCTGCCACATAACCCTTCTAATCCAATGTCTGTATGTGTTTTATATGTATTTACATGTAGTGTGAAGTGTAGTCAAAGCATTAAGTCAAGATTTTAAGAAATTGTATGTATCCATACATGAAGGTTGTACTGTATGTTTATGAATCGGACAATTGAGGTCACGTTGTGGATGCTTTGTCATAAACATACTGTAATTTGTATTGTATAATAGAATCAAATAGTGACTATGGCAATTATGCAACTGCCATGAGTCTTTGCCAGTTCCTTATTGGTCATGATTTACATGTTCAATATTATATAAACATATAAATATACATGTACTGTAAGTCAACTCCCATTATAACAAGGTTTTTGATACCAAGCCGATTGCCTGATTACGTTTAAATCTTGTTATACTGAATATCCGTGCCCGTTATAACGGCCGTCAACTGTAGCTTTAGATAAGCAATGTACATATGTTCAACAGGTTTAACGTTTATCAAGAAATGTGTTATGTTTGATAAGTTGGATAAAATAAATCTTCTGAAAAGGAATATTATTTTTTCTTTGCACTTATTCTTGTTTATACATGCACGTAACTTATTTGACTGAAAGGGAGAAAGCTATACAATATCAAAATACAAACAAAAATAGTTTACTGAATTGAGTGAAACATGTTTTGGATTTCAAATGGACAATTCACATACACCTGTGTAAATAGATAAGGAGAGAAAGGAAAGGACTAGGCCTACAAGTATTTGTAAGAAATATTTGTGAGAAAAGTGAGAAATGCATAGAGAGATATATTGAGAGGAGAGAGAGGGATACACTGTAGAGAGAGTGACAGAGAGTGAATGAGAGGAGAGAAAGAATGAGAGGGATAGAGAGAGAGGAGAGAGGATAGAGAGAGAGAGAGGGGGGGATAGATGTATAGGGAGAGAGAGAGATAAAGTGGGAAATGGAGAGAGAGAGAGAGAGAGAGAGAGAGGGGGGAAGAGAGTAAATCGAGTACGCATACATTTAGCACATTGATTGCTCCTTTTCACCCCCCTTGGTATAAAACCCCCCCTGTTGACACAATGGAACCGTCCGACCGCTGGTATCTGTCATTCTTGCTCAGCTGTGGACCGTCACGCGATCCGCACAGGCATACACACGCCAGCATACACAGAAAAGGGTCTTTTGATCAAAATAGCCTGAAAGTGTTTGCTATGTTGCATATTTTTTAAATACATAATCAGGAAATTATGTCATTTCATCAAAATCATTTGGTCAGGATTCACTATGAATTTATCATGGATAAAAGTACATTATAAACATAGTGATGAAAACGGCAGATCCATCCAAACTTGTATGTTGAAGATCTAACACATTTTCAACATTGCTGCAATTTTTTTTTTTTTTTTTTTTTTTTTTTTTTGGGGGGGGGGGGGGTAAAAATTCACCTTTCCCAAAGTAAATGCACCCATAGAGTTGCTGTCCAGGTTGTGTCGAATATTGAATGATCATTGAGAGTGGTACATGTACATGGGTTCAAGGTTCCCTTGCATTAGTATTCATAATGTTAAATTTTGTACATTTTCAGCAACTGTGGGCTGACAAGATTCAAAGAAAGTTCCAAAATGCAAGAAAGAGGGATCCAGAAATCAGAGAAATGCTAGTGGTAAAAGCAAGGAAGAGAAAGGCACTGACCCAAGTATTACCTAAGAGTACCCCTGCCAAAGAGAAGAACAGCTCACCACGCTATCCACCCATGTGGGGAATGCAGAACTATTTACCAGCAAGACCCTCCTCAGAAGATGATATCTCCATACTGAGACACAAGAAGTGGCTTCAGCTGGAGATACTAAAGAAGCGTCCAGATTACAAAGCAGTCTCACACCTAATGGAAATAACACTTGCAGACATAAGAAAGGAAATAGTAATAGGTTATATCTCTACAGGGGATCAAGGAAAACTATCCTTGGCTGTTTACAGAACATGAGGTAGGTCACTTGTTTATGTCTCCGCCCAAAATAGGTGGTTGCCGGAGGTATGTTTTCGGGTCCTCTATAAATAGTTCAAAATTGATGTCGGGCCGATGTCATTATTGCAACATGAGTATGACATCTTAAATTTGATGTCGCGCCGATGTTGTATCGATGTCGCAATTGGTCACAAATAAAGAAGTTGGTAAATGGTTGGAAAAAAAGATGTTAGCCAAATGTCATTATATCGACATAAATATGACATTTCTAAGTACGATGTCGGATGTCGCGTATATGTCTCAACTAATACCAGTTTAAGAAGTCGTTAAATGATTGAAAAAATAGATGTCGGCCCAAAGTCATTATTGCAACATTGTTTTTATTTCCATAAATTTGAAATGAGGTCACATGACAAATTGGATTCACTCGTTGTGGAGGTCTTAATGAAAGCCTACTAAAAGTCTATGATGATAACTTCATATTAATAATGGTAGGCGTCACAGTTCAAAGGTTGTCTGTCTAACTTATCTAGAGTACAGATTTTAGTTTTAGTTGTTATGTATACTCGTATGTGCAAACGACATAATGTTAAGGTGGAAAATTAGACTTGTTTTGTTTTTTTGTCGATCAGCTTCTTGCAGAATTTCAAAGAATTCATGGAGGAGCAGGGGTGGTGGAGCTCCTGGAAAAAGGGCTAGCTAAATATGCCCAAGGCTTATCAGAGTGCTTTAAGGGGAGCAATTAGGTTAGCAAAGGTGAAGTGCACCTGGCAGCAACTTGGAAGGATGAAAACAAAGGCAAGTGCATGTTTAGATAAAACTGTAGATCCATGTACTTGATGTTTTATAACTTGATCCCACTGGACTCAAATTTATACGTTTTCAGGTGCACAACTTTTAGGTGTACTCTTTACATAGTGCTTTTGATTAGTGTTATTTTGACTCGGATGATTTCAATGAAATTCACAACTCTCCTCCAGTTTGTCAAGTCTGTTTTGGGAAACCGTCCTGAAAGTAGCCATATTCTTTCCTGTACTGTTGATAGGTCATGGATCCACTTTGTTCACTGTCTTCCTCTTCTCTGGACCCCTCTGTCCTACCGAGCATTAAGTCCTTTCTAATACCAACTTTGTTCCCCAGTCCTTCACTAATTAATCTTTTGGGTAACCATGCTTGTGTGTAAGGTTACAAAAAAGGGGCGTTTTTGACAACAAATTTCGGAAATTTTGTTGTTTCATGAAATCACCAAAAAAAAGGTTACATTTTCACATAGACAATGATAGAGATATATTAAAAAAACTAGAGTGCGCAGTCCCAATTGACGCGTGCGTAAAGGCTCTGTGAATGCATGGAGGATGGTCCGCCATTGTTTTGTCGGGCAACAATTGCATTGCAATGCATGTATACATGGGCAATTCCCACTCTGTCCTGTCTGCCCCATAACAAGTTCATCATGGAATTAAATTGGTTTTTAAAAAAGCAGAAAAATAAAAGACAAATATGAGCGAAGGCTCTGTGAATGCATGGAGGATGGTCCGACATTGTTTTGTCGGGCAGCAATTGCATTGCAATGCATGTATAAATGGGCAATTCCCACTCTGTCCTGTCTGCCCCATAACAAGTTCATCATGGAATTAAATTGGTTTTTAAAAAAGCAGAAAAATAAAAGACAAATATGAGCGAAGGCTCTGTGAATGCATGGAGGATGGTCCGACATTGTTTTGTCGGGCAGCAATTGCATTGCAATGCATGTATAAATGGGCAATTCCCACTCTGTCCTGTCTGCCCCATAACAAGTTCATCATGGAATTAAATTGGTTTTTAAAAAAGCAGAAAAATAAAAGACAAATATGAGCGAAGGTTTTAAGAAAATTCACCAAAGAATAACAAAGTTATGGATGTTTAAAGCCTTAATTTTGTGACGTCACTTGCGAGCTGCTCTTCCATATAATGGGGAGCAGCTCGCAAGTGACGAGCTGCTCCCCCATTATAAGGAAGAGCGGCTTGCAAGTTATGTCACAATATAAAAACCTTAAACATCTATAACATCCAATTGCCTTATTTTTCAGGAAAATGCTAATTATTTCACATATGCTGTCTAAATAGGCCTATCATCAAACATATGTTAATATACATGCCCCTACGAAATTAATATATTCCCTTATCAAGAACCACAAAAAAATAGAAATTTATGGAAATTACGTAAACAGCGAATGGGGGAGCAGCTCGTAAGTAACGTCACAGAATTAGGGCTTTAAATATCCATTTGCCAATCGGTTTTTTTTCTTCAAGTTTGTAGGCTTGTTATTGATCATGCAACCATGTGCTGCCTAATTTGGTCATCACATGCACAGGTGCTTCTTGGAATGAATACCGGACTGATTTACATTAATAATAATAATTCATGTTAAATCAATGTTTCATATTACAGATGGTCTGGAATATGCCGCGGTAAAATTGCCGACCTTGTTGAAAGAAGACCCGAAAGACATGTGGACTTTCAAGGTAAACATCTTCTAGCTAAATTGCAGTGATCATTCACACTATGGGCACTTGTAATCCCAGGGGTTCTTATATTTGACTTGGGTACAGGTTTCCAGCTGAAACTTTTGATTACTACGTGATAGCCAAATTTGAGAAGATCCAAATTTGCAACCCAGACTCCAAGCCAATATTTCATGTAAGAGGCTGTTTGTTCAACCAATTGAACTCTAAAGTGGGATTTATTAGTTAATTTTCGCAACCAATAAATAAACCAACAGAGAGAGAATCATAAAATATTTGCCTGTTTCCAAAAATGCAACCAATATCCAAACCAAATTTTTCAACAAAAAAAAGAGGGGTCATTCATTTACCTGGGTTGAAATTGCTACCTTTCTCAAGATAACTAAAGAAACTTTGACATCATGCACTTTATAATGATTTTTTTTTTGGTCCCCCCCCCCCCCCATTTCCAGGATGATGAGACCCCAAACCCAAACTCTGTGTTCATCAAAATGAACAACAAAGAAGTCTCTGAATCAACTTGCTTTGAAGTTGTAGCCGAGGAGATGTCAATCTGCAATACAGACCAAATTCATACTGCACTTAGCTGCTACATAGCAACATTCTACGTCTTCAATCTGGCCTATATACCACGACTTCAAAAGACGATCTCTTTCATCCAGAATTTCCTCCTTGGCATTAAAGATGGAACCAGCTTGGAGAAACCAGTGCTTACCCTCGCATCTAGATTGGCCAAAAAGTCACAGCATTAAACACATTAGTCACCCAGCTGCCTGACTACATGTTCATCTCTTGGTTGCAGGTTCATGTCAAAACTTTACAGATTTAGAGTCATAATTTGAGAACTGTCACTGTCACCCTTCTACTGAGTGATTAAAAAAAAATAATAAACACTTAGAAAATTGTCATTAAAAAGAAAACCAATTTATGAACCCCAAATTATTATTATACATACTTTGAAAGAGTAACTTCTCCCGCATCTTCGGTATCATTTTTGTGTGGTATGTGTTTACGCTTGGATGAACACTGCGCATTGTTTTCGAGAATGTAAAAAGCGAATTGTGCCAAAGTGGGGGTGAAGTCAAAACAACAAAAGCTTACAAAAAAGCAACTCCATCGTGATTAAAATAGCATAACTTTTTAACGAAAAGGTTTTGAGCAAAATAAGATGGCACAGGTGTTGTTACACCTATCGACTACATTCTGTGTAAAAATGAGATAGATCTGTAGAGTCAAGCTTGAGTGAGCACACGTCAAAGACAAAATGATCACTTTTCAAAAGTATTAAGAGTCCTTTTTAGGTCTGTAAGTGACCATTTGCTCTTTGATGTGTGCTCACTCATGGATTACTTGATAAATCAATCTCATTTTTACACAGAATCTAGTCGATAGGTGTAACAACAATCTTGCTAAGTTATTTTGCTCAAAACCTTTTCACTAAAAAGTTACGTCAGTTTAATCAGGATGAAGTTGCTTTTTTGTTGTTTTGATCTCACCCCCACTTTGGCACAAGTCGCTTTTTACATTCTTGTAAACAATGCGCCGTGTTCATCCAAGCGTAAACACATATACCACACAAAAATGATACCGAAGTGTTTAGTTGTTTTTTTATACTCACTCGGTAGTTTGAAATATGAACTTACTCTTTCATAATCAAATGTATTGAATTTCTAATCTTGGATTCAAACTTCTTCTCCAGCTATCAAACAAGAGATAAACAATTTATCTGAAAGCTAGCCCCCCATCTTGCCAAATTTAATCTCTATTTTGTACTTGACTACTTTCAAACCTATTAAAACAGAGCTTGGTTGCTGGTTGCATTGCAAGTTGTTGTACTTTGGTCAAATATACTAAATCCAGCACAGTTTCAGCAACCCCAAATCCTTGCTTTAATTACAATATGGCTGCTGAATAAGAGCCTGGATAAGAGCTCCCAGTTATGATTATCCAAGTGAAACAATTAGTCAAAAATGTGTAAATTGCATATTAATTCAAGCAAAACACTAGAGTTAAAAAGTTGAACTGAATTTGTTCGGTTTCTGAATTATCAATGTAAGTGGAAATTTGAATTAGTGAAAGTTGAACTGAATTTTTCGGGGTTTATGAAATATTGAAGTAAATGGAAATTTCAATTTAATAATCTGTGAATTTCAATTTAATAATCTGTGAATTCAGTTAATAAAAACAAATGCCATGTGCAAAAAGCATATTCAAACTTAAGCAATTTTTGTTATGAAACTTTCTCGAATGTGAGATATTTAGAAGGTGAAGTCTGTCTACATTGCAATTGAATTGTAGTGTGGTGTATATTTAGTGATGTATCAGTTACATTTGTTGCAAGTTATTTTACTTTCAAATTAATCTATTTTATTTATGAACAATTAAATGCATATCTGCAGTGTTACACAAAGCAGGTGTAGTGCAGATATAAATTGACATAGTATAAGGAGGCCTTTACATTATAGAAGTTGGCTGTACCAGGTTTTAAAATACTTATTGTTTATGAATGAATTTCACACTGTATTACCCTCAAATGATTTAAATATACTGCTATTTTTGTCAATGACACTACAAAAATCGTTATTCTTTGACAGATATGTTTTTGATTTTGGTTTTCTCCCATTTTCAGGACTCTGGTTACTGCAAACAAACACAATTTTCTTAGGCCTAAGTTTTACTCAACAAAATTTTAAGGGATTAAGGGAACCCTGTATGTGTAAAGTTACAATGAGTGAGCGAGTTGGTGATCTGGGTCTCATGAATTTGTAAATAATTTTGATTTGGGTAAGGGTAAGGACTTGCCCCTGCAAAGGATAAAGGGGCAGCAACTGAAGAAAGTGACCTATCTATATACTATCACTGCCCATGTTTTGATCAAACTTTGAGTAGAGGTAATAACATTTTCCTAGGTATTCTCAGATATTTTTAATGATAAATTGCAGATGATAGAATTGTCATCAATTAGACAAATATGGGGAAAGACAAAACAAAAATGCAAATACCATTTTTTTTTTTTTTTTTGTAGTACCATGCTTGGGTCATATAGATATACCAAAAAATGGGACCCATGTTGGTGGCATGTTGTTATATGTATCCCATCTTCATAAGAATCGGAACTAAATTCTCTGTGGAAGCTGCTGTTAATTGCTTACCGTATTCAAGTTTTAAAGAGTTTATTGTGAAATGTTAGTGTTAGTGTAAGAATGATTGCAATTTTTTATGTAAGGATTATTATATTACAGGGTTTCTAGTTGTAATGATTATTACAATTGTTACAGGGAAACCTGCGTAGGACAAAACTTGCAAATAACTTGTCAGATAAGCTGTGTTTGTTGTGCAAGTTGTATAATTGCTTATTCAAAATTTTCAAGAATTTATTGTGAAATGTTAAGTGTAAGAATGATTGCAATTTTTAATGTAAGGATTATATTAATAATTACAGTGTTTTTGATGTTGATAATTGGATTATTACAATTAAGCCAAGGGAAACCTGTCAGAGACAGAAATTTCAAATATACTTGTAGTGTCAGATAGCTGCATTTGTAACACATACATATGTACATAGCGGAATCGAAACTTACTTTCCGCCTAGCATGAAACATAGCTCAAAATCCAGTAGGATCAAGCACCCAGCCGGGACTTCTGTAATATAGAGTATAAGGATTGATTAAAAACTGTAATATTGATGATAGTCACTGTAACATTTCAGGCCGCTAATGAACAAAATATGTCACATTTTTGCTTTTAATTACCTTTGCCGAGTAAGTGTATGAAGAAGGAAAGGTTTTGTTTAATAAAACCTGGGATATGGCCCTACATTGGAGTGCTATTATAATTGTTGTTACTTGAAATAATGTAAATGGGTGATTTAATTGCTGTACATTTTATTGTTGTATTGCAGAGTTCTCATTAAAAGAAGTTTATTTGAATTTTATGTATGTTATCCCAAAGTGTTTCATTCAGCCATTTTTAGCGAAAGACTAATCGTGTCATCTTTAACTAGGGAATAATTAGTAGAAAGGCTAATATAAGACTAACTTATTTTAGTGTAGGACTAATTACGGACTAATTCTATTTCATGCAATACTAATTATTTCTCGGATTAGTCAAATAAGACATAATTTGATTAGTCAATATATTAGTCAAAATATTAGTCAATTTAGGCACCAATGACTTATTATTTCTTAGTCAAATAAGACATAGTGAATGACTAATTTTTTTGTGTCATTTGACCAACTTTCGTTTTCAGTGTATCCTCAGTTGATTAGGTTACTTGGCCCACTTGAACAATACTCAACAATTAGGAAAGAAGCGAAACACAAACCTTTTAAGAGTTGGGCGCGTGCTTGCAATAACTACAAAAATGTGGCCAAGACTGTATCAAGGAGACATCAAGAACAACAAAGCTATGTGTTTCTCCAAGGAAAGACCCTTTCTTGTGAGATGGACATAAAGAATCAGTTTCCAGCCCAGATATCAACATTTGAAGAAGCACAACATATTTGTGCTACACTTGATTGTTCACAAGATGAATTCATCCATGTAGCAGATAAACTGACTGTTCACAGCTATGAGTTTAAGCTGGGGTGTTTGGTGTTGACAGAATGGGATGAAAATGGACCCGTCTGTGCTCAACTAAAGAATATCATCATAAACAAGGCAGTTGCCCTGTTTGTCTTGCTTGTGTACGAAACAGAATACTACAACAGACATCTACAGGCATATGCTGTGTCAGAATGTGTGGGTCGAATCAAAATCATGGAACCATTAGATCTTCTAGTGCCTCGTCCTTTGCATATGGTTCGATTACTTGATGTTAATGACAAGTTCAATTATATCATTACACCATTCCAAATTGTATAAATATGAACCCTAGGAATTTCCATTAATCACAGGTTCAAGAGCAGCAAGCACAGGACCTGGTGTCATTACCAGCTAATTACCAGCTAATTTACAGCTACCAGTAACCCAAGTCATGTACGAGATGAACTTACCAACAGCATCACCATCATCATCGTCATCATCGTTATCCTTCACCAACTACTCAGCAGCTACTCAAAACCACCTAAATCTGGGGGATTATGCTATCTGCAGCACTGATGAGGCAATGTCAATCCCATCTACATCAGGATTTTCACCATTGCTCTGTCAATTGGATTCAGGACCACCATCAGATTCCTGTCCATCGGGGCCAGATCCACCCGTTCCTGGCCCATCTACTTCAGCTAAGTCTGCTAAGCTAAGTCAAAGGTCATCAGCAGAAGGACCAAATAAATAAATTTTTTCAATCGGCCCAGGTGAAACAAAATCTTAAAATCGACGGTCTCGCGGCCCCCCCCCCCCCTTTACGAAATCCTGGATCTGCCACTGTATGTATACATATGTTCACTGCAAAATTGCCTTTTCTTCATTATGATGTTCTCTAACTACATGCATAGGAACAGAGCACATCCATTTGTCAGATGATGATTTGGAGCAGAGCCTTGCAGAACTGGGGAGAGAGTGGGGCAAGGGTCCGGACAAGAGATGCATCAGTCACGTAGAGCTCCTCCTTCAAAAAACGTTCAAAGAGAACCAGAAATGGATAAGGTCACTTCCAGATGCCCAGGTCGAGCCTATCATCAAAAGAATACCATGCTATACTGATGCAAATATGGTATGAATTGTTTATATCTCAAAAACGAAAAGTATAGGTTCGATTTTATTTTAGAATCATCCAGCATCCTTATAATTACATTCACAAAATATGTTTTGGGTCAGAAAGTCAAAGTTCATCAGTTAGAAATGATTAAGAACCAGAACTGAATTTCATGTTGAAAGTGTCTTCCATCACTTGCGGATATAGGATTTGAGATTGGAGGGCGCAGTCTAGCTGTGCTGCTGCGCACATGGCAGCGCCAGCCCCATCTCTTTGAGGGTCACTTCTTTCAGGCATGAGAATATGAAAAATGTTTTGTTTTTGGGGTTTTTTTTTTTTCAAATGGGACTCATGAATAAGGATAATTTTGTGAAAAGGGGACCGTACATGTCTACGGATAAAAATTTATCCTTCCCAGCGGCACATCTCCGTATACCGGATATACAAGAGTACACCTCCCCCTTCCCCCCCCCCCCCCCCTATTTTGGGGTAGAGGCCGCCGGTAAATAATGCGGAAGAAATTTTGAGGCTTGACTCCAATAAGTTTTTGACAAACTTCGGCTTTCGATGGGGGCATGCAGGGCTGTCATGGCTTGCCCCTGTAAATACTTTTCAGCGAGCGAGCAAAGCGAGCAAGCAAGATTGCCGATATTATGAGATCCAGCGTGAGCGCCCCTGCGCTCGTCCTAGATCCGCCCATGCCCATGATATTATTTTGTTATGAATATTTATCATATTTGTACATTCGGGTTAAGTCACTTGATTTGTAGAGGTTCTTTTTAGGAAAGCAGACATTGTTTTGTGATACATGCCAATTACCATGACCTTTTCATGAACAAGATGAGATTACTAATTTTTCTGCACTTGATATGGTGGAAACACAAATTATTTCCAATCGTTGTTTCTCAATTATAGATATTCCATGACTTTAAGAAGTTACATGTAAGAGGGACTGGATTACCAGAACTCAGGACTGCTGTGGATCGCTTCATGACTGCGGTGGAGAAGCTGATGGGAGATGAAAGTGAGGTGAGGCAATGGAATCATTTTATTTGTGTGTGCCGTGTTTTTCCAATAGAGAGATACATTGTATATCCCACAGTGTTTGCTCGAATGCCCATAGTTGTGTGCAAACTACAAGAAGTTCTGAGGTAGGTTATAAAGTCCTCATTGGACAGTTTTTTTTTCTTCAAAATAAAAATAAATTGATAGATCGAACATACGATTTTAAACTACAAAGAGTTCAGAAAGAAATTTCCAGCATAAATCATAAATATAACATATGTTCCTCGTATTTTGTTACCCATCAAGGGACCCCTGAGGATGCTGCCAGTCATGAGATATGCAGAGAAAAAAACGGCATTCGACAAGGGCAAAGGGCGGAAGACGGAATCAGTAATATCTGAGAAGGAGGTTTGTAAATTATTTTTGTTATTGTGGGTGCAGTTTTTGACAATGTCATGGACTTACGTGACCAGCTACATTACAACTTTATCATTATATGCAATACATTATGCATGATTTAAAGTTAAGATATAATTTATCTGTTTTCCTCTTGAGACATTTTCCTTCCAATGACAAGTTTACGTAAAGCTATCACAAATGTAACGGTAAGGTTAGAAACACACATCACAACAAGTGGTCCGTGGACCTTACGCTCGATTACCTGAAGAGATGAAATTGGGGGTCTGCCAGGTCCTGACATAAATCGTTGGGGAGGGGAAGAAGTTACCCCATGGTAACTAAAGGGTAGTTTGCCCCTGTAATATGTCAAAACTGTCTCATTATGGCCCCATGGAAATGTTCATTCTTCTCTCTCTCTCTCTCTCTTTTTTTTTTGGGGGGGGGGGGTGTACCACTTTGTCCCCTTGTCAGTGCCCAATTTTAATAATTTTAGATT